GTGGCAGGTTGGTATGGGGTGAGAGGATAAAATGGCGGGGTGGCATTGGGTGAGTGGATAATGGTGGCAAGGTGGTATGGGGTGAGATGATAGAATGGCGGGGTGGCATTGAGTGAGTGGATAATGGTGGCAGGGTGGTATGGGGTGAGTGGATAATGGTGGCAGGGTGGCATGGGGTGAGAGGATAATGGTGGCAGGGTGGTATGGGGTGAGTGGATAATGGTGGCAGAGTGGTATGGGGTGAGTGAATAATGGTGGCAGGGGGTGAGTGGATAATGGTGGCAGGGTGGTATGGGGTGAGTGGAAAATGGTGGCAGGGTGGTTTGGGGTGAAAGGATAAAATGTCAGGGTGGCATGGGGTGATTGGATAATGGTGGCAGGGTGGCATGGGGTGAGTGGATAATGGTGGCAGGGTGGTATGGGGTGAGGATAAAATGGCGGGATGGCATGGGGTGAGAGGATAATGGTGGCAGGGTGGTATGGGGTGAGTGGATAAAATGGCGGCAGGGTAGCATGGAGTGAGAGGATAATGGTGGCAGGCGGCATGGGGTGGAGTGGATAATGGCGGGTGGGTGGCATGGGTGAGTGGCTAATGCGGTATGGGGAGTGGGATAATGGCAGGTGGCATGGGGTGAGTGGACAATGGCGCTGGTATGGGGTGAGTGGATAATGGCGGCAGGGTGGTATGGGGTGAGTGGATAATGGCGGCTGGGTGGTATGGGGTGAGTGGATAATGGCGGCAGGGTAGCATGGGGTGAGAGGATAATGGTGGCAGGGTGGTATGGGATGGGTGGATAATGGTGGCAGGGTAGCATGGGGTGAGAGGATAATGGTGGCAGGGTAGCATGGGGTGAGAGGATAATGGTGGTATGGGGTGAGTGGATAATGGTGGCAGGGTAGCATGGGGTGAGTGGATAATGGTGGCAGGGTGGCATTGGGTGAGAGGATAATGGTGGCAGGGCAGCATGGGGTGAGAGGATAATGGCGGCAGGGTGGTATGGGGTGAGTGGATAATGGTGGCAGGGTGGAATGGGATGAGAGGATAATGGCAGCAGGGTGGCATGGGGTGAGAGGATAATGGCGGCAGGGTGGTATGGGGTGAGTGGATAATGTCGGCAGGGTGGTATGGGGTGAGTGGATAATGGTGGCAGGGTGGTATGGGGTGAGTGGATAATTGCGGCAGGGTGGTATGGGGTGAGTGGATAATGGCGGCAGCGTGGAATGGGGTGAGTGGATAATGGCGGCAGGGTTGCATGGGCTGAGAGGATAAT